TGTTGGGATTGTCACCTGTGGACATTTTAAACTGTTTTACATATTCGTGCAGAGGCATAGCCTCTAAAGAAAGGTTGTCTCTGCAATGGAAATAGTTGTTCCTGGTGATTAGACATGGCAAGTAAACTTGGACTCGTATCCAGATGAATTTTATATTTTATTAAAATGTAATTCTGCCAGCCCATTTCTACAAACAAATTTATAACGATGTCTGAAATGTTATTAATTTAATACACTTAAGTACTTAATGAAGACTAAACGTAACAAAAAATTGCATCTAAAATAGTACAGTAGAAGCCGTTTTTCCAGTTAAGCCTTAATCCTCTCCGTCTCTCCCCGTGGGGGAATTTCAATAAATTCCTTCATAGTGTGCATTCCCATGGCATACCCTACTAAAACGCAGATAAAAAGCAAAAAATTGCATCTAAAATAGTACAGTAGAAGCCATTTTTCCGGTTAAGACTTAATCCTCTCCCTCTCCCCCTGCGGGGGAATTCCGAAAAATCCCTTCTTAGTGAGCGTTTTCATAACATACCCTAACTGTGTACCAAACTTCACCTCTTTAGGTTCAGCGGTTTGCTCTGGGCAATGATGAATCAGTGAATGAGTCAGTCAGTCAGTCAGGACAAGTAATTTTATATATATATATAGATTAGACAAAGAATCAGTTGCTTCATGTAAGCATTTATTATAATAATGATTTTCATAAACTTTATATATTAATTGTATTTTATTATTTTTGCAAAAAATTTGTAAAAAGAATTAGATATTTCTGTGTTTGTTATATATTTGTATCATAATGCCTAATCTTATTGTTAACTTATAACTTTAAATAAACAAGATGTTTTAATTCTTATATGTATTTTCCAAGATATGTTTTTTAAACATTTTTAACATACTTTTAATACAATAGTTTAAATTTAATATAAATACATCATTTCTATGTAGACTCTGCTTATTGTAATCATGGCTCAGTTATCAGTTGTCTAATGCTATCAAAATTAACAGGCCCTAAAACAGAAGTTAAAATGCATTATAAAACTTTATTTATTATCAGGATTCAATTATTGATGTTATTATCTTTGGGTAAATAAGCCTCATGTCTGCCTCAGCATGTAACTGATACATACAATTGTTATCAGTTTTAATCAGACTTTAAATATTAATCATTTTGTTATTTGTTTGCAATAAAATAACTTAAATTGCTGATGTTACACTACCTGTTGTTAAAGTTGGTAAGCAGACTAGTAAAACTGGATGAATTATATATTATTAATTGTTAAAACAATTAAGAATTTTATTAATTATAAAAATATGTCTTTTTATGTTAAAATTAAGTGGAGTAAGTAAACAAGATCATCAATCAGTTATTCTTATCAATTTTAGCAAATCTAAATGATTATAATACTCATTACCATAAAAATTAGCACATCAAGAAGTTGTCATATCACTGCAAAACTTGGCAAGCAGATATAGAAATGTTAGAGTTGTAGCATGATGGTTCATTGTGTAATGCCAGCAGAGGGCATTAAAGTGCATCCCCCTTGGTCTATAAAAAAGCACACAAATATGTCCTGTGTGTAGTTACCTGTTGCAGAGAGATGCTGTGTCACCAGTAATTCTTTTACATTGCAATTGAAGACCATATGAACATTAACCATGTTAGAGAGGGGAAGGATCATCAGGTTGAGGGAAGTCAGATGGTCATCTCACAAAATAGCTTGTTACCTAGTCTGTTTTGACAATACTGTGAGGTGGGTGTTGGAACTACTGGACAAAAGAGAACTCATACACATGGCACCCAGGCTCAGGATGCCCTCAGCAGACCACTAGCCAACTGTATTGTTGTCCATCCAGACACCTTACAGGCTACTATGTCTGTCTATACCATTTTGAGGCATCTGGGAGAGGAACTTTGGTAACTTTAAACAGAAATGACAGTAGGTGGCTATCAATGGCAGCCACCTACTGTCATTTCTGTTTGAAGTGGTGTCACTCCAGATCCAGATGGGATTGAACACAACAGAATGGAACCAGATTGTCTATAGCAGACATGGGCAAATGGGCTCTGAGAGCTGCATGCAGTTCTTGGCATTTTTTTTTTTTAACAATTTTATTTCCACAGTTTTGTGAAAATATGTGTATTAAAAAAAATTCAATATTTGTTTTATAGTATATTTATATTACATAATAAAATCACAGTACAGAACTGCGATACAGAATAAAAAAGTACAGAACTGCAGTTCCCATGCATTTTGCAAACTACATTTCGGCTCCCACTGAACTCTTGCTTGCTCACCCCTGGTCTACAGTAATGAATTCAGATTCAATTTAGGCACTGATGATGGTTGTGTTTGTGTCTAGAGGCCACATGGTAAACGCCTCAATCTTGCCTGTACTTTGGAGTGGCGCACTGTCCTCACAGCTAGTGTAATGGTCTGGTGTGCCATCACATATGACAGACCTCTACTATTGATTCAAGGGGCCATGACATCCCAGCCACATGTGATGCCTCTCATAGCAGGGCTCCCAAGATTCATTTTCCAACAGGACAATGCATGACCACATAGCAAGTGTCACAGGAGTGCCTTTACTATATTGCCACACTTCCCTGTCTCCTGATTTGTTACTGATCAAACATGTCTAGGATGCCAAGTTGGACAGCCTATGAGTTTGGCCAAACTAGAGGACTGCTTGCAGCAACTGTGGGCTGAGATGACAAAGGACACCATTCAGTACCTGTATGCAGTGGTGATATTCAGCGGGTTCGCACAGGTTTGGCTGAACCCGTTGTTAACATTTTCAAAGTTTTCAGAACCTTGTTAAACACATGTAACATTTCTCAATGGTTTGATTCTTTTGAAAATATTAAAATATACGTATTATACTCTGTAACACTACTAAACTAGAGGCTTCCGATGCACTATTTGAGCGAAAAAAAAATTGTTAAGGAAAAATTTTCTGTTAGCGAACCCTTTGTTAAATATTTCGAATGTCATCACTGCCTGTATGTCTCCATGCCTGCCTGCATCACATAACCTATTCATGCTAGAGATGGCCCAACAGGGTATTAGAACCTCCTTTCATTTGTAATTTTTCCTGCAATAAATGATCCTTTTGCTTACATTTTGTAAACACTTATATCATCATTACACTCAAACGTACAATTTTTTTCAATTCCAACAACTCTCTTCCTTAGTGCACTAATTTTTATGGCGATGAGAGTAAGTAAAGTCTACTGTATTCAATGTTTTATTGTTAAAGAAATATTTTCTCTCCTGATTTGCTGTTAATACATTTTTTAAATTTTAAATTATTTTTTAGGTACTTTTTACGTGTGACAATAATCCGTAGGTTATCTGATGTAATCAAAGAAATGGATATTATTGTCCATACTTTGTCTTCATATCCTGAAATGAATTCCTCAATAAAAATGGAAGTTGGAATTGAAGATTGTCTTCACATAGAGTTTGAATATAATAAATCTAAGTAAGATTTTTTTTATCATAACATATATTGAAATTTAAACAACAATTGAGGCTTTTAAAAGAAATTAATTTAAATGATTTTTATTAACAGATATCATCTAAAGGATGTTATTGTGGGAAAAATATACTTTCTTCTTGTTCGAATCAAGATAAAACACATGGAGATAGCTATCATTAAACGTGAATCCACCGGAACAGGTCCAAACATGTTTAATGATAATGAAACAATTGCTAAGTATGAAATTATGGATGGAGCACCTGTAAGAGGTCAGTGGATAAAATTTATCTATATTTAATGTTTTTGCAAATACAGTAATATAGGGTATTTGAAAAATAACTGGAATTTTCCATTAAATTTATTTTGTTACATTTTGAAAAGAAATGTATGTAGCACATATAGGTATCCCTTGTACAACACAGTAATTCTACAACATGGTTTGAAAATTAGGGATCCCCATACAACACTACTTCTGGTTTCACTCTAATATGGTTTTGAAAATTCTCCATATAAAATTTCACAATTTTTAAGTGTAAACTTATTATTTGATACTTTTTTATTCAAGTAAGCATGTATGTTGTCTCAGATTTGCCCATGAATTGTAGAATATTGAAATTTTCAAATTATTTTGTGCTTTTCATCAGGTTTACTTTAATGAAAACTGATAGTGCAATTTTTTTCTTCCTTGTCCTAACTTTCCTCTCAACCAGGTGTCATTGTTGTTGCTTTTAGACTTTAGCCCTTAAGACTGTCACTGTTTTTTTTTATAGATTAATCTTTGTATTTAGTATAGTTTATTTAAACATTTTTAGGTAAGTGGTGCTAAACTTTTTTAATCATAGGTATTACTTACCTACGAATGATTACTTCATTCATAAAAATTACAAATGAAATACAGTGGTATCTCAGTATTTGAACACAAATTCTGGAAAAAAGTCAGTTGGTACTCAACTGAACAAATGTGATCCATTAGAACAAATTTTCAATTAATTGTCATCCAAAAATATTTTGTCATCCAAAAAAATTTATGATATAAATAAAAAATATGAAAATGTTGCTGATACTTCTGATCAAGATCAACAAAAACGCTGAGATGACAAGCTGACTTTGTAAAAATGCCCTCATTTAACTAAAATTGATATTCACACATAATTAAATACTTTTAATTGGGATTGTTAATTAATTAATTATTGATTGGAAATAAATTCTGTTTTTATCATCAGAACTAGGTGCATAGACAGACACTGGGCATTCTACATCATCTTTATTTGGAATATCCTATAGGCCGATATGCGTTTTGGGCATAAGCCCCTCATCTGTCGGCTACATAATAAAACATATCATGAATTTCTCATATTACAAAATGGTTTATATTATAATAGGCTACAACATACCATGACTTCCGGGATTTCTTATAGGTGGTGCTGACACGTACACATTCAGTTTAAAATTACTTATTTACAGTTAAAATACCATTATAGTTTAAAATATATTTACAATTAAAAGTACTATTACAGTTAAAGTTTCTTGACTTAACATCAAACATCTTCCATCACATACTCTTAGTGCCCGTGTTAATGACATTCTATTTAATCTTGTTATCATATTAGCATTTCTTTAAAGAACATTTATACTATAATCTTTCTAATTATTATTACTGTTGTGTTTAGTGGGTTATACTTGGTTGACACCGGTGGCTATATACTATGCCAGACCAGAGTCAAGGCATAGTAACCAAAAACTAAAATTAAATAGGTGTGTCAGTGTCTGTATTCAGGAATTTCCTAACAATATGGCATGTATTCAATATTGTGGCCTTCTGTAGTGTGATGTATGTATTTCTATTCAATTGTAATGTTCCCAGGCTTTTGTTTAGTGTGTGTGGTTTCACACCTGTACAGGAGAGAACTACAGGTACAATAAGCACCCTATCCATCCTCCACAGATGCCTTATTTCCTGGGCGAGTTCTGTGCACTTGCTAATTTTTTCAGTGCATCTGTTTTGTACATTGTGTGTGTTTGGAATGGCTATGTCTATAATGCATGTGATTTTATTGCATTTGTCAATGAGTGTGATGTCTGGTCTGTTGTTGTAAATTGTTTTATCTGTGATTATGGCTCTGTTGTAGTACATTTTGTGCGTGTTGTTTTCCAATACTGTCTGTGGAATATACTTGTAGTATGGTTCGTGGATGTCTGCCAATTTGTGTTTCTTTGCAAGCTCTTGGTGTATTATATTTGCTACTTGATTGTGTCTATGTAAGTAATCTGTCTGTGCCAAGAGCTTGCAAC